CTTTCAGCTAAGCAGAGCTGACCCAAACTGTCCAGGTACAACTGATGAGGCATCAAAGGTAATATTTACTATGACTGTCCATTTCAGCATAATTTTGCAACTACTTCCATGTACATTGTTTTAGATATGTGTGCATCTCTCCGTATGTAGCTACACAGCACAATGTCATACTTAGGTTATTCTTCTGAGATATACAGAGTGCACTTAGATGTTTAGGTACAATATACATGCTACATGATATGCACCTGAATAAGCCATTAAATAAATAGCACTTTCCTTATTGCTTTACTGTGTTATCTGTACTCCTTCCATTATATTATCCCTGTTGGGTTAATTGAAACTCTCTGATCATTTTAGTATTATATAATATGTATTTCAAATGCAGCAGGGGTGATGAAAAGTAGATAACGTCCTGAATACCAGTTAATAAGTTTGCCAGCTAGGGCTGTGAAGATCTATCAGTGACATCAAATACTGTGCTGATGGAGCCAATACACAGGGTATAAAATTGTAGTGTCAAAGGGTATGAAATAGAACAAAAAATGTGCAGCTCCAAACATCCGATTCATATCAATTTTTTTTTGCAACAAATGGCATAACTGAATTAGTTATCCTATGCATTCTCATGCTAAAAGATGAAATGCAAAAATGCCCAATTAACAGAATTGCCAAATTAGTATTTTGCTCTCTATCCGTCTATAGAAATAGAGAAGTTGAGAGCCTACAGATGATCTATGCTTGGTAGAAGGGAAAAAACTCACTTTTAATTCTCTGAAAATCTGAACGTCATGTATGACTTAGTTAAACTTCCCATTGGAATGTTTGCGTATCACAGGAGTGCAGTTAATGGGCCAGAAAAGACAGCCATTGTCAAACCCAACACACATCTGTTTGTAAGCTTTAGTTAACAAAAAGTAATATAGACCACTTTGACCTGCTCCCAGAAGAAAGCGCAGTGGTATTTGCATGGGTAAATACATAAAAGATTAAAGGAATATATTTATATGTAAAGGATATTGCTTCAGTTCCTTCTGATCAGTCTTATACATCCTTAAGAAGAAAGTATCCAATCTCATCACTAAAACTGCTGGAGCTAGTAACATGCCCTTGGAGCATTTTAACTTGGCATAGAGATTTTTCGAAAGGGAAGAAAGCCTGAGAGTAAGATAAGCTTGTCAAACATTTTATGAAATATAGGAACCATTTGGAAGAGAATGAGATTTTGGAATCTCAAATATAAAATGGAACAGTAGTGCATAAGATGCTTAAGTGGGCCAATGTAATGCAGTTTATAAATGGTTTAACATAATACTACATGACTATCCATAGTATATATGCGGTAGCACGATGATGTCCAGATACTCAAAATTACTAATGGTGCTGATCAGGAAAAAAAGACCAAAAAATCCTTTTGCTTTGATGTTTGTATTCCATACAGACAAACTGAGTGCACTTAAAGAGTTTCATTCACTTCTTACATACACAAAGGTGACGAGCCAAGATGTTTTGAAGATTTTCTTACAGAAGAAGTAAGGAAATATAATAATCAATACAACCAAATAAGAAAGTGAAGTTGTACAAGACTGAAGAAGGTCATTAACTGCCTCAGAACAATGGTGTGGGCATTCTCACAAAACTGCTCTCTGTAGGCCACTTATTGTTCAGCCTATTTAGATCCAGATCTTCAGACCCTGGGAACTGCTCAGATCTGCACATGTTTATCCTGTGAGCAATGATTGACTGATCTGCAGTTTAAATTCTAGGAAGTGCGTTCTGTTGTGTAGGACGGAGCACCTCGACATCTATTCCTGGACCTCTGGATCAGGCATTTCTCACAGAATTTTTTGGTTCAGATGCAATAAACTGTCATACACTTTTGCATTGGGAAAGCCAAATTATTACAGTGGGTTTCACTGTCTTAAAACTGTTCAGTGGCTGACAGTGATTGGGGCCTATTCCACAAAGCTTTGTTCAGACAATCCAGTGGCTCCTGTCTGGCTATCTCCTCTCATTTTCTGATCCTCTTCATATGGAGTCTAATCTTGTATTATTGCAGTTAATGAGAATGACGGCTGGCCTCTGAAAAGCCAGCTTTTCATGTAAGGAATGTTTATGGGACTGAGCTGTTTGTCTGCCCTCAGAATGACGCTTTCTATCATGTTTCTGACTTACTTTTCCTGAAAACAATTGCAGTATTGTATCATTTGTACTTAAAAAAAAAGTGGTGCTGTGTCAGATTGTACCTTTGGGTCTCGCATCATTCTTCTTCTGAAAGCTATCATGTGCGTCTATGTTCATAAATAATATATCCACTTGTGCATATAATTACAATTTGTGTGTGTGCATGGGTTTAATGCAAACACATAGACATAAAGGATACAAATTAATTTGATCCCCTCTGTACTTGCAACACAGACAAATTCTTAATATTTTATAGTGCATATTCCATTAAATAAATAACAAAATTGATCTGTGCTACAACATGTGTATACATACACAATTTATAATGCCTGTAGTAACATTTTAAAGCCTGTTCACACATCAAAATACAGGTTGTTTATTTCTACCTTAAAACAATCTGAGGGTTTAACTCTTCTTATTATGTAAACAGTGGTGACAGCTGCTTTCAAAGAAGCATAACTTCATTAAAAAATAATAGTTTCCCATTGTAAAATCAATACTAATATACCATAAATCCCCCTGCTGAACTCTAGCTTCCTTACATGCTCTCTCACATTTTGTGTACGAGGGGCACAGCACTACTCTAATTATCGGAAGATAATAATATGGCAAGATATAGATATAGATATATATTTAAATGTTAAAAGATTAGTTAGGTCAACTTGAGTAATGAATATATTTCAAATATAAGCTTCTTTCTATAAACAAAGGTATTTAATTTTCTTTGTAAAGTGGGTGCCTTGCAAGTCTTTAGCTCTATGTGTCTACTAAACTCATAAACCAATCCTGGGCATCTTTATCTCAAAATGCACTCGTGACATATAGCTGAAGCTTTAACTTTTTCATTTTTTTAACTAAACTTGCACTTGAAGTAGACTTACAATATAATTTACAAGCTTACTTTTAGGTAGACATTTTAAACAACTCATACAAAAGAAAGATTTGTATGTCAAGAGTATTTGTTTTAGTGACAAGAAAGCTAGGTATACTCTATTCATTTCTCAAGCAGACCTTTATGAATCACTTTAAAAGGACATTACAGCTGAAGACTGAAGAGCAATATTTATCAACATTAAATAAAACATTTGGTGAAGTATGTATAAATATTTCTTCATATGAACATAACACAAAATTAAATAGTTCAGATACACAGACACCATTTAATATATTTCCACTGTTGTCAAAATCATCTGTAAACACCATCTCACACTGAATACAAAAGCAGCTTTTACATCAGTTCTGTGTTCACAACACTGATGCCCCTTTGTAAAATAAATTTGTTTTGTTTTATTTTCAGAAAAAAAAAAAAAAAAAAAGTTTAAGCAATAAAAAAGGTTTTGGTCAGTTCAAAGACAATACAAAATTATCTTTCAACATGTAAATAAATCAGATTTAGAACAACAGTTTAAAGTACAATCCTTTCCCTGGGGAACCTTTAACTTCTATAAATCACACTGTTTGGTGCAGACCACATCACAAATACCAGGAAATACTGGTCATGTCTAAGCTAGAAATATGAAAGCCCTTTAAAAATTTTCTTTATTAAAAATTACCAGGTTACAAATTGGCAATATCCACATTTTCTGAAACACCAAGTAACATGGCAATAAACAGAATTAGGTATACTTCTACTTAAAACAGATTCTGGAAAAGAAACACTTGAAAATGAGTGTCCTTCACATGCAAAAACAAATGATTTCTTTTACACACAGCTTTCACATCTGAAGATCACCTGGGGTGAGCACGAAATGGGGCTGCTGCTCATGTCCGCACCTGTCTGGCCACTCAGCCTTTGAGCATTGATGGCTCAGATGTGAGCTCTCATCAGCCGCACTCTACAAAGATAAACACGTGCTCTGCCCTGCATGTGACCATCAATTCTTTTCACCTTCATATTCTTTAAAGAGATGTAATCTCATGCGGGAAGAGATACTGTGCTCAAGGCAAAGATTATACTGGGCATACGCCCCATTATAAAACTCTGTAGACAGGCTCACAGGCAACGCTTTTGTTCTCTCCATTTGTTTTGGCTGGAGAGATGAACCTGAATTTCAGGTGGTGAGCAATGAGATAAATATTTATAATACAACTTTCTAATATATATATATTTTAATTTCACTCACATGCAATAGTGATGTGGGGCCCTGAAAAACCTAGACCAATAGATTACCTCTTTCCTGGTATGTGTGTATTTTAGAGATGTGAATGTATTTTTTGCATACATACACACTCACACACACACATATATAACATGAGCTGCACACATGAGCTGCACACTTGGCGACCAGGAATCAGGGGTACAATTAATAATAATACACCAAAAGAGAAGTAGACAGGAAGCTCTACCTTGACAACAAGAAGCAATTTTGCAACCTATACAACGTCTCAAATAATTTCATAATCCTGTTTTGCTGGCTTGCTACATCCGTGTGTGACTTGAATTGAAAGCTGTTGGATTCCTTGGAAACAGAAGAGTTGGGCTAGCTAGATGTGCTTACCTGAGATCCCAGAGTTGATTACAATCAAAGAGCTGGGCAGATCAGTAATGGGGTTACAATTGCTATACAGCTTCTTTCAAATTTGTACGAAAACTTTATTAAGTCTTTCATTCTTTAGTAAAAATGTTGAAGTTTGTTAGTTTTTGCTGAATGCACACTTCATTTTTGTATTAAACCGGATTTATTAAAAGGATACATATGCCTGGCAGCTGCTTTCATGTCCTGATGTTTAAATGTTTGAATCAGCACCCTGGAACCACCCTCCCACCCCATCCCGTCCTGTCCCATTCCAGCCCCTCCCAATCTCATCCCATCCCATCCTACCCCATCCCTTCCAAACCCATCTAATCCTGTCCCATCCCATTCTCCATTATTTTTTCAGTTGTTTAAAAAATACTATTCTATGAAGCCTCCCTAGGGATCCGCTTATGAAAAATGACAGATTGCCTTTGCTGATACTGCTGTTTGCGTCGTTTTCGTTTGTCACACTGGCACAGCAGTAACATCTTGAAAGTATTTCTGAACATTTTGTTACACAGTGCATAGCACACCGGGTTCACCGTGCTGTTGATGTAGCAAAGCCAGTACCCCAGGTTCCAGACAGTTTTGGGGACACAATTGCAAAAGGTGTTCACCAGAACCATGATGTTATAAGGAGTCCAGGTAATGATAAAGGCAAACAAAATGGCACTGAGTGTCTGCGCCGCTTTCTTTTCTTTGATAAGTGACATTCGTTTTCGCTTTGTGATTTGACTTCTGGTCTTCAAGGCAAATTTTTTTGCCAGAGTTGCTTCCTTGAAGGACAAAGGCAGGGCTGCAGATGTCTTGGTCATTGATGAGATGCCATCAGAAGCTGTAGCTGTCTCTGCTGACCCTGGCTGAATTGGAAGCTTTGAAAAACTCTTCTGGAAACTTCCACCATCCTGAATGCTTTTGGGAGGTTGCAGTTTTTTAGGTTTCTTTTCCTGTGAGTCCGTGTCAGATTTCTGCAGTTCATCTGCTGACTCATTCAGATCTTCCGAGGAGGGCAACTTTGTGGAATTGAGGATGGCACTGTGACCAGGAAGCTTCAGAACGATTGAATAGATAGCTCTGGTCTCTGCTGTGATGTCCTCTTCATCAGATGAGGCTGAATTTTCAAGGGAGGCAGCAGCATCATTGTTGTTCCAGCTGTCACTGCTGCTGTGCTCTTGATCCCCCTGGTCTGTGTTGGGTTCCCAGCTCTTCATTGTGAGCCAGAAGTGGCAGCGCCTGTACTTCCTACGGCTGGAGCGCTTTGTGCTCTGCCGTTGCAGCTCATAGCTGCTGCAGCTCCGGGAGCTGCCAGTCTGGTGTACAAAGCGTGCTGTCTCTGCCTCACTGCCCGAAGCCTGTAGTCCTGCTAACTCTTTGGTGCGTTTCTCAGTCTCCTTGTAAATCCTCCAATACAAAATACTCATAATGGTGACTGGCAAGTAAAAGGCAGCTATGGCAGTGCCAAAAGTGATGATAGGTTCACTTAGAAACTGGATGAAACATTCATCAGGAGGCACAGTCCTCTTCCCAACAAAATACTGCCAGAACAAGATGGCAGGGGCCCAAAGAACAAAAGAGATGACCCATGCTAAACCAATCATTACTCCAGCCCTTTTAGTTGTTCGTTTGGCTCTGTATGTAAGCGGCCTAGTGATGGAAAAATACCTGTCAAAACTTATGACAAGGAGATTCATGACAGAGGCATTAGAGGCAACATAGTCAATGGAGAGCCAAAGATCACAGGCCAAGTTTCCCAAAGCCCAGTGGCCCATAATGATGTATGTGGTGAAAAGATTCATGGAAATAACACCGATGATCAAATCTGCACAAGCAAGACTCAACAAGAAGTAGTTGTTGACTGTTTTCAGTTGTTTGTTAACCTTAAATGAGACAATCACTAGGATGTTTCCTATGATGGTCACTAGTGCAATGATCCCAGTGAGGAAAGCAATCAAAACTACTTGCCAGACAGTGTGTCCACCCAGAGGGTCTTTGATTGTGGCATTTAGGGATGTGTTTGTTGATTCCACAGTGGAGAAGGGAAAGCTCTCTGTGGTCTGAGGAAGATCATAGCTGCCAATAAGCGATGCTCCTTCATCAAGTAGTCCTGGTCCATGGGAATCTCTCTTCCAGAAGGAGCTCACATTTGAAAACAGGGGCAAGGCTGAACTGCTATTGTGCATGATCATTGTGGCTCTCTGACATAGTCTGCGATGGGGAGAAAAACAAAAAAATATTAAGTGAATGAGTGCAGGTGATAAATAAAAAAATTGTTCACATACTTATATACATAACCTTTAGCACTTTGAAAGAAGTCTTCAAAAGCACAGTTGCCTGTGATACAGTCTAAGTCAAACACATACGTGATAGTACTCAGCTTACAGCAGTGAGTAATCAAAGCTCTTTGTAGCAGTCACACAGTGTTTTCTCAAAAGAAGAAAAACCAAATTCCCAGGAGAATTTGAACCTTTGATAGCATTAAAATGTCCACTAACTCTTAATTAAAATTCTTCCTAATGGAAGCACGGAACTCTATATCTGAACAACCTGCTACCTTGGAGCCTTCAAAAACTAAATGCCAGACACATGTAGATATGAATTCTGTGAGACTGAGTCACTGCTGGTCCCCAGAGCTCCCATGGCTCTAGCAAAATGCAGCCTCAGACTCTGCAGTCTCCAGAAATAGCTAACATGGAACAAAAATATTTTTCCGCCTTTCCTTAAATTAGAGATACAAGTTCAGTATGATTTAACTACATATCAAGCTACTATATCCCTACACTGCTACAAAATAAAAAGATCTTTTCTGCTATATTTCAGCTATCTGGTAAGGGTACTAGAAGTTCTCACCACTACTTTTTGTGCATGACACTCGTCATTTTGTATCTACATTTTTACACTTGGTTTAAGGATTTTACATGTATGTGTAATGACTTAAAAATGTCTTTGGGGCAATACAGTAAAATTTCCTTTGAAAGTATGGCCTCTAGAGTTGGGAAAAATGTTTAGCAGAAGTATGTCAAAGCACTTATTAAACACGTCGGAAAAAAAGAGGAAAAAAAGCATGAAAGGGATTCGTAATTAAACTTTAATCCTTTTCCCTAAGTACTTATGTAAAATGAAGACATGTTCAGAATAGGGATTTGGATTTCCCTTATTTCATTAACTTCTGTGGTCATCTGACTAGATCTGTTGTAATAAATCAATTATATCATCAAGCAGCAAGAATTTTGATGAGAAAATCCATTGCAGATGATAAATATTGAAGAAAATATGCTTTCAAAGGCAAACGTTTGTATTCTTACAGAATCATTTCAGAGTCAATATATTATGAAATGAGAAAATTATGAGAAGCAAAATGCACTGGTGTTACAGAAAATAGTTAAAGAAAAAGGGATGTTTTGGTTCTGTATATATTTTGTTGTTCTTTGAAATGCACTTGTTTTTGTCAGCAAGCTGTATGAAGCTGTGATTTTAAACTGTATAGTTCCTTTTATATGTGCATTAAAAGTAACAACAATTTGTTACTTTAGTTCATGTATAACAATTACACAAACCATATTTTGGTGTCAAGGACATATTAAATTTTCTGTTCTATTAATAAAAAGAAAAGATTACAATGTTACTGCAGAGTCTAATTCAATCTACATTGAAAGTGTTCATTATCATAATAACACATATATAACAAAAATACAATACCTAAACATAATAACAAAATAATAACTGTAAATATTGCTCTGGTAAACACAGTATTAAATTCAACTTCTTTCTAGATAGAAAGATGGAAGTTTGAAACTAAAATTATCTTTCATCAAAAAAGTTGACATTCTAAATCCAATTTTCATTGGAAAGGAAATGTGCACGCTTGCATGAAAATTCAGACAAACAGACATTCTAAAAATTTGTCAATTTGTAAATGAAATCAAATCGGGATTTGGTTTTGAAACAGTTTTCTGAATTTCTTTTCAACACTGAAATATTGTGGAATTTCATACAAAACTATATAGTGTCCTAAAATGTCTGCTCAAGTGAGAATTCAATTTTCTGAAGGAAAATAGTGACATTTTTTCACAGTTTGTTGATTGCTTGGGAAAAAAGACTGACAAAATCTGAATTGGCTTCATAGGAAGGAAACAGTGAAAATGAAGTAGACAATTAACCATGTAACAGAAATAGCAACGGGCAACCTGCACTTATTTGTTTTTCAGAACTAATTTTAAAAACCCAGGAAATAAGAGCAAAAGCACAAGACTTTAATCACAAAGATTACATTGACATCACATAAAATGATGATTAAAACTTATGTGTTGTAAAAACAAATCGTTTAGCAAGATGTATTAAACTAATTAGAATTCCCCACATTCCTCACTCTGATTTTCACAGACCTAGCTAAGAATAGAGAGTCTATCACTCTGCCTGTGTTAAATGTTGCAGTTTAGGTGACTATCTTGACACATATTTGGCTTTTCCTACGGCTGCCACCCACTTGTCCTGTCTGCTGATTTAAACTTTGTGGGCAATGTTATTACAGGATTTAGAACAATCAGAATAACAACTCCTACCAGCTTAAAGTAAGGTATACCAAAAACCTTGGTCATAACAGATAGCATTCAACATATTGAAGACTGGTCCTGAACTTGTACCTGATGCATAAAAATGCATATTTTGTATCAAATACATAATTCATGCAGGACTTAGGGCATAACAGAACAAAGTGGGTGAGGAAGAGTGGCTCATGCAAGATGCTTGTAAACATGTAAGTGATTAAGCAGGACAAGAGGAAAAGAAGGCACAAGGAAGATATTTACCAAAGATGCTGGAAGAAACTCTTTGCCACTGTCATGGGAAATTGTTCCCTATAAATTAGAAGATGGTGCCAGGAAACACATTAATTTTTTGCATACTTAAATAGTCATTATGTTTTATATTTTGCTATACTTTTTATGCGTTGCACTATTGAAACCTTAAGCTTGTTTTACTCTCCTATTGAAATTCACAAGAATGATTGTGTCTTGGGACCACTCGAGTTTTGAAACTGCAGTGCTACCAAAATACTCATGGAATGAGTAGTGCAAATTGCATGACTGTGTTCAAACACCATAACTTCTCCTTGGAAGAACTGTTTTTTAATGATGACAGAGTGAAGTGGCTATCAGTTTTAAAATCAACTCAGGATTTCCTTACATTTAATAACAGGTGACTATATGTTTATCAAAATAGTTTAGTTCACCAAGCAAGTATTTACCAGCTTGGGTTTCAGCATCTTTAGACATACAGCTAATACAAAAATGAAATCATGAAGATGGTTCTATAAAGTGAATTGCACTGAGGTCTATTTTAGTAAATAGCTATAAAGAAATGAACAAGAACATGCCCCATCCTTGTAGACATTCATGGTCAAGCTGGACGGGTCTCTGAGCAACCTGATGTAGCTGTAGCTGTCCTTGTTCCTTGCAGGGGAGCTGGATGAGATGATCTTTATAAGACCCTTCTAACTCAGATTATTCTATGATTCTACGATTGTAGGATAGCTAAAACAAATAGCAGCATTATGCATGTTTCCAAGAACTATCCATATGCAAGTTTTTGAATGCAAGGTGTAGAAAAATAACACTAGATAAAAAGTACACTACAGCATGTGAATCATTTTCTGAGGCCCATTCCATCTGTACTGTTATGTGATATCTATGTGGTCATCTTTTTTTCTTTGTTCTCAATCAAAAATTTCCACACTTGTCAGACTGCTTTTCACAAGCAAATCCATGCAAACTTTTCTGAAACTATTTCACCATGTTCTTGCCATCTATTAGAAAAGGTGTGAGACACAACATACTTCTTTCTTTGCTTCCTCAAGCAAATGTTTTTGGAGCTGGTATAATTCAGGCCACTATACAGAATGTGTTCTATCTTATCCTACTGCTTCAATGAAGGTGAACAAGTCAAATTTGTAGTGTCAAACAGACTCATCCCACCTCTTATAAAGAATGAAAGTCTGCAGAAGGCCATTTGCAAAAAGGCAGAAAGAGGTCTGGATGAGAAGCACACTCCTGCTTTTCATTCACTCCTCCTCCAGTACCTTCATAACTGCTCAAAACACCTTGACCAAGGAAGTTATTGATTGTCATGTAGAATGGCTAGAAAAATGGAGATCTCACATATTCAGGAATTATAAATCAAAGTATGTGTAAACTCAATGTGCAATAATACATTCTCCTTTGAAGGAGGCAGTGAAGCACTATTTAAGTTCAGCTAGCTGCTTTCAATGCACAGGTGAAATTAAAACACAGTTCACTTGTGAGCAATCACTTAAAGAAACAATGGCGATATTCTTGCCAATTATTTATGGGTCAGTGTGGATGAGAAATAGAACCAGTGTAAAGTATCCTTGCAGTGTTTTACATAGGAACTAGGCTGTCAGAGAAGATGAAGTCACAACAATATAGTATGGCAGAGAACTGAGTTATTATATTTGCCAAATATATGCTAGAAGTAATTAATTTTATAGAGTGCAGACACTCTTTCACTGACACTGGGGCAGAGAGCATAGGATGAAGGCCATAAGGCATGTCCTCAACACACATACATGGGTAAAAACTCTACAAGGTACATCCAACATAGTCAAGTATTGATTGAGTAGTCTGAAAGATAATTTTTGATGATGATAACATTTCATTGCTTTTTCAAGTAAAGCAATGCAAGCTAGTATCTTGTAATAGATGAGAAAGGACCTGGGAGAAGATGCTGATAAAAGAATAAAGGAAACAAAGCTTTAATTAAAGAATAAAGATTAAAAAATGGTATCCCTTAGAGCTGATGGTAGAAATAGCAGTATTACTAAGAAAGCAATAAAATTGTTGACAATTCAGTAGCGCTTCACATTTTCAATACGTAATAAAATCATAAACAAACGTAAGTGTTATTTTTGGAAGTCCAAAACAGCTACAGTTTGCAAATAAATTTGTAAAGCTAATGTATAAATGCATTATCTACCACTAAATCCACTAAAACAATTGAGAATTCTGTTTAACTGTAGAAACTGAAATGCAGCTTCAATGTAAATTAGCTAATAAATACTTTCAGAAATAGTATATACTGAGTCACTATGAGGAAACCTGGGAAAACCTTACTTCAGCTGCATCCTTCATTTTCCAAATCTACTACACGTTTTCTACTATCTATAGAAGAAGCACCCCAAGGAAGCAGA